AAGGAATATTCAAATCAGCCTTTCCATGGTCTGCAGAGCTCTGATAATATAAATAATATCTTAACTGAAACATCCCCTCCTTGATAAGTGCAAAGCATTTATACTTTGTTGGCCGTGTTAATGAGAAACTTGTTTTACAAGAAAATATGATGTTTCTCTCACTTGTGTTATGCACTGCTCTGAAGCATTATGCAAAATGGAGAGCTAGACATGATGTCTAAAGCTTAAGGTCTGAGAAATAACTTTTAGGAGATACGATTGGGTCACCCAAATAATAGAAGGAAGCATAGTAAGGTGTGGAGAAGGTTTCAAAATAGAGATTCATCCCACCCAGTATCAAAACTCTCCGTATTTCCAGACTCCAAAATGTACCAATTTCAACTCAGGCACGTGGTCTAAGGCAGCTCCTCCTGGGAAGGAGTCTCCAGGTTTCTAACAGTCTCATTGTGGTCTCAGAAAAGAATGAACTACAGCTCTCAGAAGACGTCAAGCTGTAGATGAGTGGGTTGATTATGGGGGTGACCACAGTGTAGAAGACAAAGGCTACCTTTTCCAGTCTTCTGTACATAGGTACATGGAGAAAACCATCACATATAACATTCTTATTTTTGTGGTCTGATGCTTAAAATTCTGTATTTTATTTTCCTAGCACTTGCATTTTTAAGCAAATAATCAGGTCTTTATTCACTCTCATATGGAAAGCAATTGTGAATTCCCACAGATCACAGATGAGTTGGAAAGGAACAAATGTCTGTAGATGGTATGATAGTTACTGCAAAGGATTCCAGGAAAGTTCTAAGTTAGCAAATCTCAAAACGGAAAATATGATTCAGCTTTAAAGAGGAAGCCTCAAGTCATCATGTACTTTTAGAGCTTTTACTTGATAGTGTTCAGCTGATCATGTGATCTGCTTTATAGGATGGCTCATAGATGGCTCATAGGATGGCAGAGCAGCCTCATAGATGTGCAAATAGACCTAGAGCAAGGAAAAGTCACAGATTACTGGCTATAATGCTATTCAGACATTCTCCTTTGGCTTTTTGTTATTCTGGTCTTAAAATTGTATTTATCGAATTTTTATATACTACTTACAGTGGGCAGATTCGTGTTGGTAGATTCATAACGTGCATCTTTAGGAGCTCTGGTACATCAAGGCATCTTAAATATACAACCATTAAGGTAAGACACTTTCTCAAAAACTGAACAAATTTTAAAATGCACTGATTCCAAAGGCTGTTTTGTTACTGACTTACTGCTGACAACTGGAAATGTCGTTTTTCTTTATAAGAAAAGAAGACACTACCTTGTTTAATACTCACATAAACAGGTTCATCTTACCATCATTGCCAAACTGAAAGAAAAAGAATTGGTGTAAGTCACTGTTTCTTCTTACTGTAAAGAAAACCCACTTTGGTACAGCTGAAGGAGCCCATAGAAAAGATGTAAAGTGACATGAGCAAGAAAACCTGCTGCCTAAATGCAGGAAGGATTTTGTTTTGCCACGGTGCTCAGCCTAGGAATGCATTGCTCCTTTGAAGAACTTTGTGCCATAGTACGCCCTCCAATTACTAATTTAATGTTATAACTACTGTCTTCAGGATGTTGGCAACGTCTTATTTCTGAATTTGGTTGAATGTTCCCTATGGCTTTCAAGGCTGAATTGTTTTCTTCTTTGCCATCACAAGCATATTTTTCAAAGCTTCAATATGGTAATAACATTACCATGTAAAGTTGCAGCGTAAGTACTCTAAATATTAAGACAGATAGCCTAGGCAAGTTCAAATTTATGTAGTGTTAATACATAAACTTAAGTAATAATACAGACCGAAAGGTGTAAAGAGGAAAGTAGAAGCCCTGCTTTTCCAAATTAACAAAGATGTCGATCTTCATAGCCCATGTTAGATTCATTTGCAATGTAGACGTTCCAATTAGGTAGATACCTATAATGATTTATTGCATAAACTGCACACAAATGCACAGTTTTACACATACATCAGTGCTGCTTCCCTATTGCTGATTTGGAGAACTTTGGTGAATCTTTCCAGCTGGAGTATTTCCATAATTACGAGGTGTTGAGGTGCTGCCTCTGAGAGAGGCTGTTTCTCAATAACACCACGTGCTGATCTTGGTACGCTCCTGCTCCCAGAAGACAGCCCATCTCAGGAGTTAAGGAATGAATAGCTCCTCATCTCTGTCTGTCTCGAAATCATTAAAGGAAGCATAGAAAAAGCAAGAGATTGACCCGGGGTGGTATGCCCAATGAGGCTGTTGGCAGCTTATCCCAACTGTCTAAGCTGGAAAGTAATAAATGGTGAAGACAAGAAATAGCCTCTGGGAAGGACATCGATGTGTGGACATCCAACACCATGTGCAATCAAGAGAGAAAAGAAAATAAAGAATAAAGATTAAGAATAAATTTGCTTCTCTGAAGTTCTGATTTATATAGCAAGCTGGATGGTGGAAAAAATGTTTTTTTAAGTCAATGGCTGTGAATTATAGAGAGATCAGATTGGAGGCAACGTCAAAGGAAAATAGCAGTAAGTGACAGCAGCAAAACTTGCCACTATATGAAAACGTCCTTGCCAAGTGTTAAGAGGTACACTGGGACAAACATACTTGTACAGAAGAAATCTTTAGTATGGGGTAGTAGTATTGTCAGAATAAATCTTAATGAATATAGGCTTCCCTTTCCTTAATCTGGTGAAAACTGAAGATAGGCGGAAACAGTGCATGTGGTGAAGCCCAGAATGATGTCAAAGGGAAAGCTTGCTTTTCGACCTTTATTTTGACCTCATATTCGACCCCTCTCTAACTGCTTGGATATTGCTTATTAGCACGGTCAATTAGATGTCAAATAAGTTTTATTCCAGACCTGACATGGAACCTATGAAGTTCAGGTGAACATCAGTGCTGAAAAAAGCTTTCACAGCAGCTGAAAACAACTGGAGAAGTCAGGGCAGGTGTTCCCCGATGCACTCACTATGAGGCTGATGTGCTGAGAAAATGCCCAGGAACATCTACTCTAGCTAGGAATGCAATGGGCTTTACAAGTCTTTATGGTCCTTTCCATGGGACAAAGCCACCAACTCCTATTACTAAAAGGAAAAAAAAAAAATGTATAGCAAAGGACATGTTAAGATTTGGGAACTCTTTAAAAGAGATGCCTGCAGTGAATTGCCCTTTGAATGCCCCTTCCCATCTCCTGCTTGATTTTCAGAGTGGATGGTGAAGAATATCTTGCACTTGTCAGGACCTCTACCTGTTCTGTCTCTTGAGGCTGCCAAGTTTTGGCATGGGCTGTTGATATCTGTGACAACAACGTTGCTGTAGACCAGCAATTAGCAAAAGATTCTGCATCATGCTGTGTGCATAGCTAAATCTCTGTTAGCAGTTCAGGCTGTTATGACTCACTGATTCTTATTAAGGAACCAGCAGTACACAAGCAAGGCTCACTTCTCTAAGGAAGCCAAATTGTGGCCAAGGCAAGGACAAACATCCCTTGATGACCACAAGGACTTGCAGAAATCTGTGTAAAGGCAGCAAGTAGCTGCAATCAAAGAATGTCACTCAATGGAAATGCATACAAGGCTCTTGAAAGCTTGGGAGATATGTTCTTCTTCACCTGGGAACAGGGAGGATGGCTTCAAATTGTGACGCCCCAAATTTACTGTGCAAGTTTCCTGAGCCTTTTGTTACACCCCAAATGGAAAAGCCTTTGCAACCAGTCAAAGGAGTGGCCACCATCCACAGGGAGGTGTGAGCTGAATGGTAAGGGTGTGCTCCATTGGGACCAGCCCTTGGTATAAATCAGTGCAGCTACACTACCTTTGGGGAGGCTGCTACTTACAGCAGCTAATGCTTCGCTCCTCTCTGTTAGTTAAAGGTGAAATATTTCTGCTGAGGTGCACGTCAGTAATTCGAACTCAAAAGCATACGTGGATCAGAAATTATGGCAGAAATTGTGGTATCTTGGAGGAGTCTGGGAAAAGAAGAGAGGAGAACACTCCCAAGACTCACACACTAAGCCTGAAATAAAGCGTGCATTCATTCAGCTGAGGGAGAAGGATTCTGCAATGACTGCTCTGACCCCAGCATTCACCTGACAGGGTAAGACTGATCCTTACCTTTACTCCTGTAAATTTGTAATTATTCTATTTTACACCTTCATGTTATCAGGAAAAGAAACCTATATTTTCCCTGTTCACTAAGGTGAATAGCTTGAATAGATGCCTAAATTCAGACAACTGGAAATACGTGAGCCTGGCTCAGCACAGCTCCATGGTCCCCTGGCCAAGGTGATCAGTGGGAGCTGCTGGAGGGAGATGTGCTTTGCCCTCTGAAAATGGGATGGGAGAAGTTCTGTGAGTGTCCTCGTCACCAGGATGCTTTGCTGTGCCACAAAGCTTCCTCTGTGAATGGCTTTTCTCCATACACTGCCAATTAAAGCAGTGAATTTTTACAGTGGCTCTATTTTTTCCACCAAGTTTTTCCCCACATTTTTTCCCTCCCTTTTGCCAAATCTGCGGGCCATACCTTGTTCTCACCTGGAAATGAGGAGCAGTTCAGTCAGATGCTGCTGCCTGAGCACACTGGGAAAGGCACTGGGTTTTACCCCATGTTCCAGGACATGGTGGACCCCAGTTCTACCTGGCTGCAGTCACTGCACCACAGCTGGCTCATATTCATAAACACACCCAGCTCTCTGTCCCAACACTTCAATTACATCTGCAAATCAGGTTTCACCCCCCAGCCTCTTCCTGCAAACGTAAGGTGTGATGAATGCCGTCAGTTGTGGTAGTGGTTAATGGGGAAGAGGTGAGCTGGGACACAAGCATTCATTTATTTATCATTCATTAAATTCATATAAACTCTTTACACACCTGAACTTAACACCCAGAGTAATGCATTTGCTCACAGTGTCACGAGGCAACCAAGTCATAATTTTACGTTTAACACTTAATTTTATATTCTCTGAGTTATACTAAGGAAATGTTTGATGCCTACCTTAGTTCAAATTAACAACTTTAAATCCAAATTGCTCTCTCTCTGACTTCATCTTCCCAAGGTTTCCAAGGCTGTAATGTTAAACTCATTTCTTGAGTGAGTTTCAGGATCATGATACATCCCCTTGTCCCTTCCAGAGACTCACTTTTCCACAGTGTCTTGTCCAAAACTAAGGAAGGAAAGTTATTGTATTTTTACCTTTACTCCAAACTACTACAGTTGTAGCCTGAATCTCCTCCTGAATTCCAGGCCTGGGTGCTTTCTAGTCTGTTTGAGGTGGGAAGGAAGGGAAACAATCTCAGAGAGAGTCATAATCACAAGAAGTCAAGGACAGAATCCATTATCTGCTGCTCTATCTCGTGATCTCATCAACTTGGAGGTTTCAAAATAAGATCCTGAGAAAGAAACAGACCTTCCCTAAGACCTATACAGTTAGAGAAGTGAGATGCCTTCAGTAGTGCCTCGCTGCAGGCTGGGAGGGGTGTTAGGAAACCTGGGATGCCTTCACTTTAGAAGGGGCTTCCTCTTCCCTTGGCCTGGAGAAGAAAGCAGAGCCCAGCTCAGCTGGCTAACTTTTTGTAGTTAATGTGCAACCCAGCCTCTCCTAGCTCCCTAGAAATGATTGGTCTGGGTACCCCAGCTGCATGTGGTGCGAATCATCAAGTTATCTGATTTCAGCTTAAAAAAAATCATATTAAAAAGCATAATTTCCACTGTCCTATGTCTTTGTACTCTCCCCGTTGGTAGAGAGGAGGCTCTGAATGGCGGAAGAGAATCGATCCTTGGCAGCAGAGTTCATCCTTGAGGGCTTTAGTGATCATCCCAAGATGAAGGCAGCCCTCTTTGTGGTGTTTCTGCTCATCTACGTTATCACCCTTCTGGGCAACGTGGGGATAATCGTCCTCATCCAAGCTGACCCCAGGCTCCACACTTCCATGTACTTCTTCCTCAGCAGCCTCTCGGTGGTCGACATCTGCTTCTCCTCTGTGGTTGCCCCCAGGACTCTGATGAACTTCCTATCAGAGAAGAGGACCATTTCCTTCACTGGCTGTACAGGCCAAACTTTCTTCTACATTGTCTTTGTGACCACCGAGTGCTTCCTGCTGGCTGTCATGGCTTACGACCGGTACGTTGCCATCTGTAACCCATTGCTCTACTCAACCATTATGACTCGCAGGCAGTGCGTGCAGTTCGTGGTAGGGTCCTACCTCGGGGGCATCCTCAATGCCATTATACAGATGGCCTTCATTGTGAGACTGCCCTTCTGTGGCTCCAACATCATAAACCACTTCTTCTGTGATGTTCCTCCACTCCTGGCCCTGTCCTGTGCCAGCACCTACATGAATGAGATGATCCTCTTCTCCCTAGCCGGAATCATTGAACTCACCACCGTCACCACCATCCTGGTCTCCTACATCTTCATCTCCTGTGCTATCCTGAGGATCCGTTCAGCTGCAGGCAGGCAAAAAGCCCTCTCCACCTGTGCATCCCACCTGACAGCTGTCTCCTTGTTGTACGGAACAACAATATTCATGTATTTGCGCCCCAGCTCCAGTTACTCCCTCAACACGGATAAGGTGGTCTCTGTCTTTTATACAGTGGTGATTCCGATGCTGAACCCGCTCATCTACAGCCTGAGGAACCAGGAGGTGAAGGGTGCACTGAGCAGAGTAGTAGAAAGGATTACAGTTAGGGTCTGAGCAGAGTGGATGACACAGGAGCTGAAGAATACCCTGAGAACCACAAATACTCTGAGTATCATAGGGCAGGTGTCAGGCCACCCAATTACAGGGATTCATCTTGGGCTGTGGAGGCTCTGACCATGGAGATATTCAAAATATGCCTGGATGAGCCATGAGCAACCTGGCCTGGCTGTGATGTCAGCCCTGCCTTGAGCAGGGATGGGATCATTTTGAGCAGAAAGGACTTCTTGGAGGTCTCTGGTCCTACGGGGGGCAAATGACACAAACATATGTATGCACAGAATTACATACATACTACGTATTTACCTACAGAATAACAACATATTCCTTTGTGTTCACATACACATTTGTTAGCCTTCATCAACCCTTAGCTCAAATTAGCTGTAATATCAAGCTGTAGCCCCTGCTCAGTGAATGAAGGAATGTGGGACACGCTGTTGTTGGATTTAGAAGACAAATGCTTATACCAGAGAAATGCCAAATTACAGCACAGAAGCTTTCAAAGTTCCCACAGAATTTTGCAGCATGCCATGGACAGTTGGACCTCCGAAGACCTTGGAGATCTTTTCCAACCATGGTGATCCTGTGATTCGATGAGTTGGAATCAGCATTTCTTTTCCTTAGGGAGGGCAGATGTGTTTTCTTGGTAGGAAAGTGAAAATAGTTCCATTATCCATAAGGGCTGGAGAGAAGCCTGGACATCCCACCTTGTTTGGCATGCAGCTGCTGATAGATGTATCAGCATTTGGGAGATGGCTCCTGCAAACCCCTGAGCAGGCACATGTCAAAGTTTCAGTGTAGTGGGGTGGGAAATTAATACGGTGTATAAGCCAAGTGAATATTTGAAACCAGGTTGCTGGGTTACTGGAACTTTGTAGGGTTACACTGATATTTGCTAGCTCTTCTTGGGTGGCCATAAGCCTTTCTCTCTTCCCCTTCCCCATCCCCTTCCCCCTTCCCTTCCCTTTCCCCTTCCCCTTTCCCTTCCATTTTCCCTTCCATTTTCCCTTCCCCCTTCCCCTTCCCCTTCCCCTTCCCTTCCCCTTCCCTTCCCTTCCCTTCCCTTCCCTTCCCTTC